CCAATCATAATGTCACTCATAATCTTTGATTTGCACCCATTATCACAATAACTGTTTGCATACGAGCTCTGTCTGTGACTATAAGAATAAAATGTTTGTAAATAATTGTTATCATTGTCTATGTTTCGGATCAGTTCATCAAACTCCAAGCCATCGAAATGTTTGAGTGAATAGGTCTGAGCCATAGAGTACTCGCGATACCAATTAGGTGTCGATCTGTAGTGTCGGTTCGCTTCCAACAAATCAAAAGCAAATGTTTCCATATCTTGTATCTTACCTATAGTGTAATTTACAAATTTAAAAATTAATACAATTGTTTTAAACATGGTTAAAATTTTCAAACCATTTGATTTGCAATGAATGATTCTATAAGCGGGGTTGGACTCCAAATAAGTGGTTAGACTCGGACTTATGATTTCCAATCCAATAGGGTTTGAGTGGTTGTGAACCGAATAGAGAACTCTGAACTCATCGAAGTGTGTGTGTCCGTAGAATTGACCCAAAATTATATCACTATATCTCTCAATAATTTCCATGAAGTTGTAGAGCCAGGCCTGAGTGCACTCCCTATTATCGGGTGGTATGTGTCCCACAATATGTACAAACTGCCCGGCCTTTTCGGCCAAATCTAATTGATATAAAAGCCAATTGAGTTGATTGGCCGGATCCACAGATTCATAATACGTCCAAATGTTAAGTCGGGCGCAATAATTGGTATTCACTACTATTACCCGTAGTCGTGGTCTTATTTTTAGGGTATAATAACCTGCACTAAAAATATTACAGAATAATCCAATGTTTAGAATAGGAATAATGTATATTTAAAGAATTATAGTAATATATGAACACTTCTTACTAATGAAACGATTGCAACGATTCTTTGGGTAACCATTGAGACCAGTGTTGAGCCAATTCATCGAAAAGCCATGAAATAGAGAATTCATTCTGTAGTCCAGGCGGTGGAAAGCTTATTAATAAAATATTCTAGTTAAATATATTTAATCATGGTACTGTATATATAACATTGTATACCTTCCCACTGGTATAGCAACATGATTACCAACCGCTGGAATGACTAATTTATTTTTACTAAAGGCTTTAAAATAGTCGGCAATCACTTCAGTGGTTTTGAGTGATGTATGCTTAGAGTCTTTCCACGTGTCGTGAGGGGTCACATCCCCCGTCCAATACGTCCAATCAATTGATGACCAATCGATTTGATTGAATGTATTATCCAATGTAGGTAATGGTGTGTCACATGGATATGAACCCCAAAAGTTGGCACTCATATTCACCTCAACTTCTTTAGTGGTATCCCTTCGACAACAATAGGGTGTTTCACAACTGTCTTCAGTGGTCGGCACGTAATCCAAATCCAAGTGAATGTCTGTTAATTGAAGTATTTTATATGTTTTCTTTGTTTTTGTTAAACGTCTCGGTTTATAATCTCTGAGACGCTCAGGTATATCAAGTTTCCAGTGCAAGTTTGTTGACTGTCCACTATAGCACTGGTCACCCATTAATAGTCCACATATTTCCGTATTATCCAGACGTGTATTTTTCCTAATATACTCCACTTGATTCTAGTATTTATAATATAATATCGATTATAAGGTTAATTAATTATACTAATTTTTTATTTTCATACTAATTATCTTATTATCTTAACTCAAATAGCAATGAATTAATTGGTGTCAGACCTTAAAGATATTGATATATCCGTCGCACACCTCAGAAGTCGATAGTTTAAGAGCCGAACAAATATGGATGAAAGCAAAGGCCAGAGAGTCGGCTGCAAACCATGTGCTGAAGATCATGGTTATCATTGAATGACAGGCCAGACATGTCAGCGCTGAGGAGATACCCTCTCTAAGCGAATAATACAACTAAGTGAATGTCTGTTAATTGAAGTATTTTATATGTTTTCTTTGTTTTTGTTAAACGTCTCGGTTTATAATCTCTGAGACGCTCAGGTATATCAAGTTTCCAGTGCAAGTTTGTTGACTGTCCACTATAACATTGGTCACCCATTAATAGTCCACATATTTCCGTATTATCCAGACGTGTATTTTTTCTAATATACTCCACTTGATCCTAGTATTTATAATTTAATATCGATTATAAGGTTAATTAATTATACTAATTTTTTATTTTCATACTAATTATCTTATTATCTAAACTCAAATAGCAATGAATTAATTGGTGTCTGACCTTAAAGATATTGATATATCCGTCGCACACCTCAGAAGTCGATAGTTTAAGAGCCGAACAGATATGGATGAAAGCAAAGGCCAGAGAGTCGGCTGCAAACCATGTGCTGAAGATCATGGTTATCATTGAATGACAGGCCAGACATGTCAGCGCTGAGGAGATACCCTCTCTAAGCGAATAATACAACTGGAAACCAGAAACATACTTATGTTTAATTCATGAAATTAATTGTTCATATTTACTGACAGTGGTAATGTCGACAATATTTAAGATATTGAACACACTCTTAGATATAAAAGTGGTGACCGTGTCATCAATCATCGATATCTTTGAATCGGCGCTACTGTTCCTCTCATTAGACAACTGAGTCTCAAATTGTTTGATATCTGTTATGATTTCCGATAATTTTCTAATAGCTTTCAATTCTGTCTCATTATGATTGCTATTGATTTGAAACTTTTCGTATAAATTCTTTAAAACGTTTAAATCATTTTTGGAGCTTTTGTTTGAAAGGCTTTCTATTGGAAAACTATTGAATATTAATTGAAGTAATATTATTTTTAGCAACATTTTTGTTAAATAACTTTTTAAGTGATTTTTATTACCCGAAAAAATTTTATTTAATGTTTTAGTGTGCAATTTCAATAACAAACTATAATAACATATGCTATTCGTTCACATTTGGGTTATTCATGATATAAAATACAAAAAATAGGACCAAAATATGGGACAAAAATCACGAATAAAACATGACTTTCTGCTTATTTGTATGAATGCATTGAAAATAACATTAATTTTGTTACTTGAAATATGTTTATATAAAATGTTATAATAAATAATTGAATAAGAAGGTATTTATGTAAAAACACATTAATTTTACATAATCTTCATTAACTTCTTCAGTGAAAGTAATATTCATAAAAGTATTTTGAATTATAGCTTAAAGTCTGAACAATCCCTGAAAAAACGAGTCATTAATAATGAATACGAAGAAAACTTAAGGATTTTTCCATTACTATAACCTGAATAAACAAATGCTATAAAATAGCCAATTACTGTAACAAATACTATAATTTTAAATCAAATCAAACTCCTTAAGACCTTCACAATCAAAATACCGATCGATTATAAACTTGAACTCCTGGTTGTCCTTCGGTTTGCATTTTTCTTGAGCCATAACTCAGTCTTTACAGCTATTTTCAAACACTATTAACGATCATTATTTCGATCCTTGAATTTATTTAACAAAGAGAAACATTTGGGTAATTGAATCAATCCATTCATGTCTGGTTTACAATTATAATTAATTTTTATGAGATTCACTACACAATCCCCTAAACCTCCTAATCCACGCCTGGCCTCTTACAGCATAGCTGTATAAGTAATACATAACTGAATGTAATATTGAATTAATAAAAATCAATAAATCATGTAATGATTGATTAATTGTGATAAAGTATTTTTTATTTTTATTAAACTTAATAGTTATTAGTTATGGTATTGAAGTGCACTCGAGCCTAAAAATTTGTCAGACAAAATAATGATAATAAATAAAATTAAAAACTTATTAACAATTTTAAAGAATGACAAATATTTCCTGAAATTACTACAATGAATCTATTATTAAAATTATTTATAAATAAAATACTACGAATATTCTGATAATTACTAATTTAACCAACACTTGTAATAGACTTGGGAATAGACCTAAAAGGATTACAACTGATAATATCGGCCACTATTTTGGATTTGCAGTCAGAATTACAATAATCGTTAGTTTCGAGACTAAATCGAGTGTAATGTGAATAAAATAATTGCAAATAATAGTTATCACGAATTATTGTCTGGATGAGTTGATCAAATTCAGTGTTATTAAACTGCATGGAGTAGTCATTGGCCATCGAGTACTCAAAGTTCCAGTCGGGGCTCAACTCATTTAAACTATTAGCTCGCCTTAAGTCAAGTGTATAGGTCTCGATGTCCTGAATTATTCCTGAAACATATTACCGGGGTAAAATTATTAAAAAATATTTTTACAAAAAAGTTCATATTTATAATTACAGTATTACCGTTATCTTTACACTTGATTATACGATATGCGGGATTAAGTTTTACGGTAGCGTCATATGGTGTGACACTGGGGCTAATGAGTGCAAAACCGGTCACTTTATTGCAGTCACTGTTTGAGTAATAGACCCGAAACTCATCATAATGTGTGTGTCCGAAGAATTGGGCCACAATTACTCCTAGCTAACTGTTTTAATGTAAAACTAGTTTCAAACGGTTTGAATTCATACAAATTCAAAGCATCACAATCTGATTGAAGCAATCTCTCGATCACAAGGCGTTTGTTTCGCTCGCATATCGACTGCTCGTTAAAGAGACAGAATAGAGGCGTTCGGTTGAGTCGGTCTCTGGAGTCGGGATTACAACCGCTTTCCATCATAAGTGATATCAATGACAACATTGTGTCAACGGATCCAATGTTGACCACAGCGTAATGCAAAGCAGTTTTACCAAATAGGTTGCGCTCATTGATTATATGAATGTTTTGTGACTATTAGTAAAGATTTTGTTTTATAATTAGAGTCTAAAAATAAGTTTAAACACTTGTCAAACCTTGCAATAGTAGAGCATTAGCTTTAATATGACTATCGAGTAGTGATTTTCGGGTCCAAAATCTGCAAAAGTCTTGCGATCAGTTGTCAACTGATGTGTTGTGGACTGGAATAGTATGTGAAAGGGTGTGTTTCCGTTAATATCCACCACATTTATCTTTATTTCTGGTATTCATATCAATAATTATGTGTAATTAATGACAAATAATTGGCACCTAATTATATGTTTAGAAAACCTTAAAAATTATAATCTAATGCATGATAACTCAATTCTTATTCATTAATTGTTTTTTGATGGAAACTATCTAAAGATTAGTTAAGATATTGTAAAACAAACCATATTTGATGAGCAAAACTATTAGATCGATGTCTTTATTATAGACGGCTTTATGGAAGGCATTCCATCCGTACTGATCGACAACAGCATTGATATCAATGAGTGAATTGACTAATAAATAGTTGAGAACATCATAGGACTGGCTTGAGATGCAGTCGTTCATAATTAGCGATGACTTTTGACAATCAGATTTAGGCCATAACTGTTGGTTCAAATGTATGGAAAGTTTATGTTTTTGTTTTTTATTGTTTTCCACT